TTCGTTATTAGCCTGTCCAAACCTCACTTTCTCATCTGAAAAATGGGCATAAAAATGTTATCCTGGGCCAGGCATGGTGACTCATGCCTGTAATCCTAGTACTCTGGGAGGCCGAGGCGGGCGGATCACTCAAGTTCAGGAGTTCAAAACCAGCTTGAGCAAGAGTGTGACCCCGTCTCTACTAAAAATAGAAACAAATTAATTGGCCAACTAAAACTATAGATAGAAAAAATTAGCCGGGCATGGTGGCGCATGCTTGTAGTCCCAGCTACTCAGGAGGCTGAGGCAGGAGGATTGCTTGAGCCCAGGAGTTTGAGGTTGCTGTGAGCTAGGCTGATGCCATGGCACTCTAGCCCATGTAACAGAGTGAGACTCTGTCTCAAAAAAAAAAAAATGTTATCCTGGTCTAACTCAAAGAGTTGTTGCAATGATCAAATGGAATAATGGAGATGAATGTGCTTTTAGAACTGTAAACTGCTGTAAAGTGCTGTGCAAATATAAGACTAAACTTTGGACTGCTCACCCTTAGCTTTGTTCTTTTCTGTCAATAAATTGGAAATACTTGTTACTTATAACTCCATAGAGATTGTAGTAACCGAAGACAACTAATAGCACAACAATTTGAGCTCTTCTAAGGTGAACTTTACTTTTTTTATTCATGTCTTGTCTTTCACATACACAGGTTGGAATATGCAGAGATAGTATAGAATCTGACACATTTATTATAGTGTTCTATGCAGTATGTGATAGTACATTTATTTGAACTAGTCACATCCTAGAGCAGTGTTCTCAGAGTGTGGTCCCTAGACTGCAGTATCAGCATCACCTGGGAACTTGTGAGTAATGTCAATTCTCAGGTACCACACCAGATGTACTGCATTAGCAAGTCTGGGGCTGGAGCCCAGTGATCTGTGTTTTAACAGCCCTGAAGTTGATCCTCATGCTCACTGAAGTCTTAGGCAGGCGTCCTCAAACTATGGCCCTGGGCCACATGTGGGTGTTTTGCCCGTTTGTTTTTTTACTTCAAAATAAGAATGTGCAGTGTGCATAGGAATTGTTCATAGTTTTTTTTTTAAAAGAGAAAGTCCAGCCTCCAACAGTCTGAGGACAGTGAACTGGCCCCCTGTTTAAAAAGTTTGAGGACCCCTGTCTTAGAGGAAAGGATTTATTAGAGTCTTAATTGAAGTGTCTGACAAAGGCTACCCTTTTCCTGGAGCAGTATTATTGCTTGTCTTTTTCTTCAGCATGGACTTGAAACATCTGTGTCCAATCTCGGGCAGCCGTCATTGGATCCCTTCCTAAACACATGCTGTCACTGCCTGCCCAGCGTAGAGGAGATCTGGAATGCCACTCCAGTGCATCTGTTATGAGGCTGACTTCAGGGTGTGAGGAAATTAAAGCTATTTATCACAGACCATTTTCTCCTTAGTGTCAGGAGAAATGAGCCTTAGCCTAACAAGGCTTCAAATTGGGTCTATGTATGAAAAACATGCAGCTCGACAAACACAATTTAGGCAGACTTATGTTTCTTTTGCCTTTTCCCTTTGAAAATGAATCCTTTTTGTGAGCAGCACCAAGTCAATGTTGCTTAAACATTGCTCATATAAAAGTCTATTATATACAATTACACAGAGTAGGTAATACTTGATAATGATAATAAATTACTATGTTACTGGTTTATGTATTTATTGTCCTATACTTTTATTGTTATTTTAGAGTATAATCCTCCTGAACTTATTAGTTTAAAAAAGTTAACTATAAAATAGCCTTGGGCAGGTCCTTCAGGAATATTCCAGAAGAAGGTATTGTTATCATTGGGCTTAACAACTCCATGCCTGTTATTACCCATGAAGACCTTCCAATGGGACAAGGTATGGAGGTGGAAGACAGTGATATTGATTCTGAACCTATAGGCCTAGGCTAATGTGTGTGTTTTTGTCTTAGTTTTTAAGGAAAAAGTTTAAAAAGAAAAAAAAATTAAATAGAAAAAAGCGTATAGAATAAGGTTATAAAGAAAGAAAATAATTTTGTACCTCTGTACAGTGTGTTTGTGTTTTAAGCTAAGTGTTATTCCAAAAAAGTCAAAAAGCTAAAAAAAGTTAAAAAGTTTATAAAGTAAAAAAGTAACAGTAAGCTAAGGTTAGTTTATTAATGAAGAAAAATTTTTTTATTAATTTAGTATAGGCTAAGTGCACAGTGTTTATAAAGTCTGTAGTAGTGTACAATAATATCCTAGGCCTTCACATTCACTCACCATTCACTCACTCACTGACTCACCTGAGCAACTTCCAGTCCTACAAGTTCCATTTGTGGTAAGTGCCATGTACAGATGTATCATTTTTATGGCATATTTTTACTGTACCTTTTCTATTTTTAGATGTATTTAGATACACAAGTACCCACCATTGTGTTGCAATTGCCTGCAGTATTCAGTATGTAACATGTTGTACAGGTTTGCAGCCTAGGAACAATAGCCTATACCATGTTGCCTGGGTGTGAGGTATGTAGTAGACTACACCATTTTGGTTTGTGTAAGACCATTCTATGATATCCACATAAATACGAAGTCCCTAATGTAGCATTTCTCAGAATATATCCTCGTTAAGTGACTCATGACTGTATTTGTATTTCTTCCTGGTGATGAGTATTATAGGCAAAACTAACGGAGTGTTTTCCCTACTACTTCCAATAGTAATCAGCATTTATTGGGTATGTACCATGTGCATAAGCCATTGCTTTGTGTCCATTATACTATTTAATGTTCATAACAGTTCTATGAGACAGATATTATCATCCTTGTTTTATAGATAAGAAAACAAGTGCAGAAAGTTTAAATAATGTCCGATGTTACAGACCTGTTGCTGGAGCCTTGATTTAAATATATGTCTTTTTGATGCCAAAGCCAGCATTCTAAACCAGTGTTAGAAACCAGTCATTCTAAACCAGTGAATAGAAAGGAAAATACCAGAATGTGTCACATGTAGTTTGGGTAAATAGGTCTTGATACATGAATTTTTTGTTTCAACTATAAAGATATTTATGTACGTATATATAGAAGTGCATTTCTGTACACTGGGCAACAACGTAAATGGTTTTCCTGCTGTGTCATAGTCAAGTCTGAAAGCAAAGTGGGTGGCAGAGGAAAGAAGATAAAGAAAAAAAAGGGAGAAGAAGAGGGAGAAAATATGAATGATCAAGTGAATAAATAACTGTCAAAGAGACAGATTCAGGGAGAGGGAGAGGAAGTAGAAAGGAATGGGGATAGAGAGAGAATGGGCAACTCCAAGAAAGAGACAATGAAATTAAAGGAGAGATGGAGGAAGAAGAAGAGAAGGAAGAGGTCATGTGGAAGTCACATGGTTCTGTCCACCGTTCCACTCAGAAGCATATGCCTCTACTTGACAGCAAAACCAGAGTTCTCAGTGGGTTGTAGTTTTCATATGCTTCTCATGCTGTGATCCTCTTGTCATTCTGAGTGTGAGTCGAATAAAGAATTTTATTAAGCATGGCTCCTACCTACAAGTCATCTGGTGCTCAACTGAAAATCAGTGATCTGAAGAGGAAAAAGGCTGTGTTGAAATTGTTAAAAGTATGAGATCCCCAATATGTTGCTTCCTAAGGAATTAGAAGATACAGTTTTGAATATATGTAATTTTTGTCTTTTGAACTAATTTTGATTCTACTACACAGCTTCTTGTGTTTTAGTGGGAAACCATAGGCAACAAACAGATTTTAAAGTCTTCTATTGCTGAGGAATTCTAAATCTATTAGGTTTTTTACTTCCAAAGGATTCTGGAGTCAGTTAATAAAAAGCCTGTTTTTATAGATGTGGAAATTGAGTGACTGTTTGTATGAAATTTCCCTTTTTTCAGATGCTTTCATAAGAATCATATTACTGAATCTTCATAGCCACCCTATTAGATTACACTGATGTCAAATTTTCCTGCAGAAATTGGAGCTCAGTAAGTTTATGTCCCTTGCCCAGATTCTCATCTACAGCATGGTGGAGCTTGATTTAAACCTTGATTCTCTGACCCCAAATTCCATATTTTTTCCACTAGATAGAGAACAGCTTCAACAGATTGAAAAACAGTGCTGTGTGTTATGATTTAGAAGACTAATTTTATTTTTAAGTCAGAGTGTGGTACAAAGCCTAAAATGCCCACTGTTTTGCTGTGACAGAGTAGTCTTATGTAATTTTCTTCTCCCACTACTTAAGGATATTTCTTTATGTCTAGGCCCCCATTAGAAAATTAGAGTTTATATTTCTATGCTTTATTGTGATCCATTCTTGGCCTGTTCTTTTGGAAGATTATTATAAGAACCAACTTTATTTTAGTTACTAATAATGTTGCATCAAGTAACTTGGGTAAATGCTTAGTGGTATCAGCTTAAGTGGGTATTCTTTGCTTTAAAATAAATAAATACTGAGTGTAGTTGTGAGTGACCTCTATCTCAAAAGCCTTTGTAGCCTATTAGAAAAGAATTGTAATGTTTTCCCCAGCTTGCCAAAATACCATTGCTATATATCCTATTCATCTTGTCTTACCACTAACATTTTAAAAAATAATAAATATATAGGAAAAATGCTGATAGAGTTTCTCTCCAATTTCTGCTAATGTATGTTGTGTAATGGCCCTTCTGCCAGGGTATGTTGTCCTGCTTTTGCTCTTAAATCTCCTCATTTTTAATAAAAATCCTACCCATAAATGTCAAAAATTTAAAGCATTTCATTTCTTCATGTTTTGTGGTTTTGTTTTCCTACCTTCAAACGGTGTTTGCAAATGAAAGTGTTTCTCCTTTCTTCTACTGGTTTCATTTTGCTGAGTGTTTATTACATTCAACCAGATACTTTCAGGAAGCTACACTTCAGTCTACACTCCATGGAAGCTTTGTCAGTGCAAACAAAATATACATATCTGTAAAAACACAAGGAATCCTAGCCTTATTATAATTTCAATGACTGGTAGTACCTGATTGTTGTTTATTTTTTATTTCAGAGATCCCAGAAGACCCACTTGTGGCTGAAGAATATTATGCTGATGTGTTTGATTCCTGTACTGAAGAGAGTGAGGAGGAGGAAGAAGAAATAGTGTTCTCAGCATCAGAGGGAGAGGTCAAGGATGGGGGACCCCAGCCTCCTTACAGAACAAACCAACAGGTGCGTGCTGGTCCCTATCAGAGTCCTGTAACTGTCCAAGGTACTGATTGGACTCTTCCAGAGAGAGTCAAGAAAGCTTAATAACCTGAAGTGAAAGATGGGGAACTTAGGTTGTTATAGTGGCTCCATGTGATAAGTCTTGATTTCCCAGGTCCAGAAGCAGGTAGGGCCCCATGGAATTCTGAGAATCTAATCTGAACCATGTTGATGAGGGGAGGGCTGGAGTACATAGCACTTATTTGTAGGGGGATGGAAGGATGGTACATACTACATCGTTTGCACACTGAAGCAGCTACTAGATAAACAGTATACGTATACAGTACACATATATAGTATACATATACAGTATTCATACACAGCTACTATATAAACAATGTAAGTATCTCTTTGGATGAAAGAATGGGATATTTTTTATATAATTTTGTGTTTGGTAATCAAATTTTTTAGTCATATTTACACATTTAATGCAAATACAAATTTATAAGAAAATGACTTAGTTCTGGGGATGAGACCCAAAGATCCTGAGCTTAGGGGATGATTTTCTAGCTATATTCGGCCTCTGAGGACTCATCCTTACATACAGTACTGAAGTCTCTGAGTATATGCCTTTGTAGTAGATCTCTTTAATTATAGCAAGAGTAAGTCCTATGTAGGCCATAGGCTAAGAAACATCCCCAGCATATGCTTTCTGTTTTGTGTGTCTGCAGCATAGAGAAAAAGCAAGAGGTCTATAAGGAGAAAGCAGATGGCTTCAGGCAATTTATGCACATATCCCTCATTTCCTTCTTAGGTAATACCTGGTAACCTTTTAACTCTAAGCTTCCATGAAGTACAGAAGCTTTTTATTAACTGGAAACATTCAGCTACTGAAATAAAAGTCAATCAGGGGCACCTGAGTCAATGAAAACTTAATCCAGTAAGATGATTTTGGGGGTGGAAGGAAGGTTGTACACAATTTATTCAACCATTTTTAATAAAGGCTAAGCAGCACATCATAATATTCAATAAATAAAAACAGTAAAAATATCCTTACTTTCTGTATAAGAGAAAGAGAGAGATGCAGGGAGAAGGGAACTAGAATAGTATTGGCATGGGACCAAACAGAAAAAGTGATTTGAGAAAGAGAAAAAGAAAGAGAAAAGAGCAGAGAGAGAATTTAAGAGACAAATACATAAAGAGAGAAACAAACAAATGTTGAGAAAAATGCAGAGTTAAAGTGGGGATTCAAAACACCCAAACAAAACTTTCCTTAAATCATTTATTCATTTTTTCCAATGGAATCTGGAAAACAACAGCACCTCCTGCTACATATTGAAAATATAATTTGCATTTCCTTTTGAGCCACTGTCATAAACAACTGAAACAAATGTTATTATAAGATTACAGAGACTTCATTCTGTGCCTATTGTTATAAAACATGATGTGCAAAATACAAAGGGCTCATTTTTTACTCTAAGCATCAAGTGATAAAATTTTAGCTACTCATATTATCACTTAAAAATATTTTTAATAAAATAAAATTGAGTCAGAGAACCATATGAATAAAATGCTATCTGGCAAACACTCCCTAGGTCAAGAAATAAAACTTAACCAGTACCAAGAGCCCTATCTTTGGTATAATTGTTAGAATATAAGGTTGGAGATCAGACTGCCGGTATCTGGTCTATCCTTCATCACTCGCAGGTTGCATGACCTTTTGCAAATTACTAAACTTTGCTGCACTTCTGTTTTCTTTTTTTCTTTCTCTTTTTTTTTTAATTTCGGCATATTATGGGGGTACAGATTTTAAGGTTTCAATAAATGCCCATTTCCCCCCTTCCCCACAAAAGTCTGAGTCTCCATCATGACCATCCCCTAGATGGTGCACATCTCACTCATTATGTATGTATATACCCCCGCCCTCCCCTCCCCTCCCCACCTGCCCAATACCCTATTACTGTAGTACCTATGTGTCCACTTAGGTGCTACTCAGTTAATACCAGTTTGCTGGAGAATATATCTGGTGCTGTTTTTCCATTCTTGGGATACTTCACTTAGTAGTATGGGTTCCAACTCTAACCAGAAAAATATAAGATGTGCTATATCACCATTGTTTCTTAGAGCTGAATAGTACTCCATAGTATACATATACCACATTTTATTAATCCATTCTTGGATTGATGGGCACTTGGCTGTTTCCACAGCCTTGCAATTATGAATTGTGCTGCTATAAACATTCGAGTGCAGGTGTCTTTTTTGTAGAGTGTCACTGGATCATTTGGGTAGATGCCCAGCAATGGGATTGCTGGATCAAATGGTAGATCACTTGTATCGCTTTAAGGTATCTCCATATTGCTTTGCCACAGAGGTTGAACTAGTTTGCAGTCCCACCAGCAGTGTAGGAGTGTTCCTCTCTCTCCGCAACCACGCCAGCATTTATTGTTTGGAGATTTTTTGATAAAGGCCATTCTCACTGGGGTTAAGTGATATCTCATTGTGGTTTTGATTTGCATTTCCCTGATGATTAGAGATGTTGAGCATTTCTTCATATGTTTGTTGGCCATTCTTCTGTCTTCTTTAGAAAAATTTCTGTTCAAGTCCTTTGCCCACTTTTTAATGGGTTATTTGATTTTTTCTTCCTAATTTTCGTGAGTTCTAAGTATATTCTAGTTATCAGTCCCTTATCGGATGCATAGGATGCAAAAATTTTCTCCCATTCTGTAGGTTGTCTGTTTACTTTCATGACTATTTCTTTGGCTGTGCAGAAACTTTGTAGTTTGATCATGTCCCATTTATTTATTTTTGTTGCTGCTGTGATTGCCTTTGGGGACTTCTTCATAAACTCTTTGCCCAGGCCAATGTCTAGGAGAGTGTTTCCAACTTTTCCTCTAGAGTTCTAATAGTTTCATACCTTAGGTTTAAGTCTGTCATCCAGCGTGAGTTGGTTTTTGTGAGAGGTGAAAGGTGTGGGTCCGTTTTTAGCCTTCTACAGGTGGCTATCCAGTTTTCCCAGCACCATTTATTGAAGAGGGATTCTTTTCCCCAGCGTATGTTTTTGTCTGCTTTGTCAAAGATTGGATGGCTTTATGAGGATGGTTTTATATCAGGATTCTCACATCTGTTCCACTGGTCAATATTCCTATTTTTGTGCCAATACCATATTGTTTTAATTACTACAGCTTTGTAGTATAGTTTGATATCTGGCATATTAATGCCTCCCATTTTGTTTTTGTTGCCCAGAATTGCTCTTGATATTCGGGGTCTTCTTTGGTTCCATACGAAGCGTAAAATTATTTTTTCTATATCTGTGAAGAATGCTGATGGATTTAATAGGTATTGCATTGAATCTGTAGATCAGTTGGGTAGTATAGACATTTTGATGATATTGAGTCTGCCGATCCACGAGCATGGTATGGATTTCCTTCTGTTTACATCCTCTGCTATTTCCTTCCTCAGTGTTTCATAGTTCTCCCTGTAGAGGTCTTTTACGTCCTTGGTTAAGTAAATTCCTAGGTACTTTAATTTCTTTGTTGCTATTGTGAAGGGAATTGAGTCTTTGATTTGGTTCTCAATGAGATTGTTGTTGGCGTATATGAATGCCTCTGATTTCTGTGTATTGATTTTGTATCCTGAGACTTTACTAAATTCATTGATCAGTTCCAGGAGTTTCTTGGTTGAATCCTTGGGGTTTTCTAGATACAATATCATATCATCAGCAAACAGTGAAAGTTTGATCTCTTCTGCCCCTATTTGGATACCTTTGATTCCATTTTCCTGTCTGATTGCTGTAGCCAAGACTTCCAGTACTATGTTGAACAAAAGTGGAGATAGTGGGCAGCCTTGTCTGGTTCCAGTTCTAAGTGGGAATGATTTCAATTTTTCCCCATTCAATATGATGTTGGCTATGGGTCTGTCATATATGGCTTGTACCATTTTTAGGTATGTCCCTTCTATGCCTATTTTCTGAAGTGTTCGTATCATGAAAAGGTGTTGAATTTTGTCAAAAGCTTTTTCTGCATCTATTGAAAGAATCATGTGGTCTTTGTTTTTGCTTCTGTTTATGTGGTGAATTGCATTTATAGATTTTTGTATGTTGAACCATGCCGAACCATCCCTGCATCCCTGGGATGAAGCCCACTTGGTCGTGGTGGATTATTTTTTTGATAAGTGTCTGGATTCGGTTAGCTAAGATTTTGTTGAAAATTACTTCTGTTTTCTAATCTGTAAAATGGGAGAATAATGGTTTCTACTTCATAGAGTGGTTTTGAGTATTAAATGAAGTAATCAATATAAAGTACTTAGAATGGTTTTCAGAACTTAATAAAGTACTTAATAATGAGATATTAGCTATTATTATTATGAAGTTGCCTAGCCATCTTGTGGATTTTTTATGATACTGCCAAAACTCCTTAATGTTAAAATGAGATTCTATAATTAGTATGAAAAGAGTCCCCTCCCCTTATGTCTTAAGGCAGATGATAAATACAAGGGCAGCAGTTTTGTTCTCTGGGCTGTGTATCTATCCTGTTACATGTTATAGGACAGATTGTGATTGATTTTAAATAATCTACTGGGACAGGATGTTAAGGCCTCTTTCATACATGATGGTATTTTTATCTCACAAAACCCTGATGGGTAGTTATTCTTATCTCTATTTTCCAGATGAGGAAACTGAGTTTCTGAGAGAGCAGTAACTTGCCCATGATCACACAGCTAGGGAAGAATCATACCTTAGGCCCAGGCCAGTCACATTCTCAAGTTAATGTTTTTCTATTACAGAAGGTATATCAATCTAGAATGGACTTGGTGTAATGGAAATAGGACTATAAATCACAATAGAGTAATTTGTATTAGAGACAAGTAATTACAACTCCGTTTTTTTCCTAGTAATTCAATATAGTTTCTCTCTCTCCCAAGGGTAGTGAGTTTGTAGTTCTGATGAGTATGGACTCTTTCCTCTTGGTTAATTTTTTAAGCAACATACAGATTATACTACAGAACGCAGTGCTGAGACCCTAGTC